ATAGGTAGGGTCTGAAATATGTGATTGCCCAGTGAATGGCTGCTAATTCTTTTTCTATTGTTGATTTATTGGATTCGCATTTTGTGAATGCCTTAGAGGCATATGCAACTGGTAGTTGTTTGCCATCGTACTCTTGGCTTAGTACTGCTCCACATGCGAACCCGCTAGCATCTGTGGTTAGGCAAAATGATTTTTTGAAATCTGGGTATTGTAAGATTTGAGGGCTTATAAGAGCCTGTTTAAGATCATTGAAAGCTTTACCGCACTCTTCCGTCCATATAAAAGGTGTATTTTTTCTACTTAATCTCGTTAGATTTCGCGCTTGTTCTGCAAAATTTGGAATAAATCTTCTATAGTAGTTACAAAATGCAACAAATCTTTTTGTTTCGTCTGCTAATGTTGGTGTTGGGCAATTTTGAATTAATACGAACTTGGTGTCATCTGGCAATATTTCCTTGTCTGTGCACTTATGCCCCAAGTAAGTTACTTCGTGACTGAAAAATAAACATTTATCTGGGTGCAACTTTAGATTGTATTTTCTGCAGATAGTGAATACATCCTTTAGGTCTTTTAACATGTGTTTTTCGGAACATCCTAATACGACCAAGTCGTCCATGTAGAGGCATGCTTGTGCAGGTGATAATCCAGCAAATGCCATGGTCATCATTCTTTGGAACGAGTTTGGCGAAATCTTGAGGCCGTAGGGCAATCTTTTGAATTTATATGTACCGTTGTCTGCTGTAAAAGATGTGACATTTCTTGACTGTTTCTCTAGTTCAATTTGGTGGAAACCTGATGTTAAATCCAAACAAGAGACATATTTTGATCTTCCCAATTGATCCAAAATATCATCTATTCTGGGTAGTGGCAACTTATCGGCTATAAGTTTTTTGTTTATGCCCCTATAATCAACTACCGTTCTCCATCTTTTTTGAGGATTGCGCGGTAGTGATTTTTTTTTGTTCTTTTTTTTTAACTCGCTCATCATTTATTAGTTTTAATTTTTGTTTACTGTTATTGGTTCAGTTTCCAATGCAAATATGTCAATGTATTCAGAACAAAGGGTATTCATCTTATAAATTTTGGAAAGATTTTATAAAGTTTTTCGTGATTTCTTTGTTTGTCTATCTTTGAGTTTTGAATGTCGTCAAAACTTTCCGTTTGAATATTTGTATCGGATACTGTATTATTATTATTGCTAATAACCGTTTCCCGCTTTTGCTTGACTCTCTACAACGCGGACATTTTGGTAGCCCCCTCGGTTATTATTTGGTGGGTTACCTTTGTTTCTGTAATAGTACCGAGTGTTGTAGTTTACGCGGAAACTTCGGGTACCCCGGAAACGGCCTCTGTTTCCACGATACCCTTTATTTGCATGGTACTCGTACCTTACGGTATCCGTTCATCCAGTTGCTTTAGTGCAACTGGAAACCAATTTCGATACCGCCGCGCTCATTGTCGAGAAAGTGCCAGCCTGAATTATTTTGACCTAAGAACTTCCCATTCCATTCCGGATGGAAGTTAAATATCTGTAGTTTGTAATTCAGTTTAAATTAAATCTTTTCAAGTTCATTAGCCCGGGATATATGCCTTTTCTTAAGGCTTTTATGGTGCATATTATAAATTTTAATTATTAAGTTTATTGACGCTAAAATAACCAATATTAAAAGTAGAAACCACAATTCATAAATGCTGTCGGTGTGGTCAACAATTTGGATTTTATTTACCACATTGGCGTTTGGGTTTTCCACTTTCGACTGTGTTTTTCCCATTTTTGGTTTTTATACCCGTACTCAAAAAAGAGTTAAGGGGTATATTAGATTTGTGGTAAAAGTGAATGTGTGTAACGCAGAGAAGGAAAATTTTCCGACCCCATAAAGTATATATATTCTTGATCAGCATTAATAGCCGAGTCGATATAGCCATGTCTGTCTGTCCGTCCGTCCGTCCGTCTGTCCGTCTGTCCGTCTCGATGAGCGCCTGGATCTCAGAGACTATAAGAGCTAGCGAAACCAAATTTGGTTTCCAGACTTATGTGATATCACACTGCTACAAGTGTATTTCAGAATTTCGCCCCGCCCCCTTCCGCCCCCACAAAGGACGAAAATCTGTGGCAGGCACAATTTTAAAGATACGATAAAACTAAAAACGCAGTATCGTAGAGAATGCCCATATCTACCAGATTGCCAAATTTGAACTAGATCGGAACATAATTATAGCCAGAATGAAGAAATTAATTTTCTGTTTCTTCCCCCTCCCCCTCCCGATCCAGACAACACAACTCATTTTCCTTCTCGCACGCACACTCTGCCGCGTTCAGTGCGCGAGCAACCCCTAGCGGAGGAGATGTAGAATCTAAATGGTACATGTAGAATATACATGTTAGATGTAGAATATACATAGTATATGTAGATGTAGATAACAGATGTAGCAAAAAAATGTAAAATGTAAAATTTTTTTTTTTTCTAAAATTCTAAAAAATCATAAGCTCAATAATGTATATACTGACTGAGTACGGGTATAAGTAGAGTCGTGTCCCCAGAAACGACTCACACGTTCCTTCTCGTTTTTTTTCTAACTTCTTTAAAATGTGGGTTATTAAATTTTTTAACTTTTATTTTATTATTTATTTTTAGGTTAAATGCAAATCATATACATATATAATTTATTTAAGATATTTCATCTAACAGTATATCAAATTGTAGTACATATTAAAAATTAATTTGAGCTAAAAGGTTGTTTCGCCTGTAGCCGTTTCTTCGCATCACGAAGTGCCGCCTTGGTTGCGTCTAGCAGCTCTCGGTAACGCTGTATGTCGTCGGGCGATCCGGTTGCCGCCTTCTCGCACTCAATTAAAAGCCGGCGAGTTCTGATGAGGCGAGCCTTCTATCCGCCCCTCTTTGCTTTTGGTACCGCTTTGCCGGGCGATGTTATTTCTCGTGGTGGTGCGGCTCTCCATTCTGCCGTGCCTTGTATTCCTCAATTGTCAGCCTCTTGGGGCCCGACCGTAGTATATATAGTATATTCCATACATGTGTATGGTCGGGTGTATTCTTGGTGGCTCTCTCTGGGTTTATGGACTCCCAGCCAAGAATTGAACCTCGTCTTCAGACGTCATGTGAGAAATATTTGGTTTTATATATTTTTCTTGTTGGTTTGTTTCGTTTCTAGCTAGTACATAAGGGGCTGCCTCCATGTGATCGTCACTGTCATCCTGTCATTGATTTGCAAGGACGTTGTTTTTGTTTCAAACGTCCTGCGTCTGTTGGTTGACAAAACGAATTTTGGGACATGACAAGGACAAGCCTTGTATATTTTATTTATTTTTGTACTGGCATCTGGCATCTGGCAATAAAAAATTTTTTTTATTAGTCTCCTGGAATCTTCTGATTCCTCCTGGAATCTTCTGATTGCTCCTGGCAGGATCGCCATGTAATAAGTATATGAACGCGCTTGGCAAGCTCCGTTTTATTAATGAATCTTTATTGATTTAAAACGTATATTTATACAGAAATCATAAAGGCGAGTTTCCCCCATGCAGCTGTATTGACGTGGGAAACAAAGCCTCGTTACGTAAGGCTCCCACGGTCAATATGCAATATGAGGCGTCGGAATTCGGACGGCGGCGGTAGCTGCCCAATGCCCGTTACGCAAGGTTCTTGGTCTGGATGCAGACGCATCACTTTTGGGAAATGCCAGCGACCGCCGCTGGGCCCGCATCATATTGCAATTTGTCTCTAGAGTGGTGCTAAAATTGATTAGCCCAAACACACTGCATGAATATACTACACTGGTGATCTCGTGGTTGCGGCTGTACGTCGCTGTTCTAGCCATGTCTCGTCACAAACGGCGGAGTGCCAACGGATCTACGCCGTTCGGGAACAACAATCAAACTTATATACACAGAGCTAACGAACCATGGCTCTAGCCACGGTTCTCCACAAATAGCGGTGTGTCCGCATCTCCCGGAAATAAAATAGTCTTAAGAAACGCACACAATTAATTAAGAACGCTTGATCAACAACTATACACATTCTTCTCCACACAACAATTTAAAACACATCACCTCTTGGGACATTTCGTAATCTACGGCCTATATAAGAAATATCATTTGCGTTATTTCACAATAAGTCAAGCCAGCATAAAATTATCGACTTACCACTCAACATCCGCGATGCAGAGTTAACAAAAAGTCATTTTGAAACCAAATACCCAATTCCCAACTGCACCTTCCGGGATGCAGCCACAGCAACACCACCCTGACCCACTAAAAATTGTCAACGAAGCACCAAGCTTCGACCTAATTACCACACCCCACAATTATTAATTAATTATTATTTCCGGATCTCAGGTGTGATCGCCAGCTGCATAAAAGGGCCAAGATCGGCCGAAAGAGCAGGCAGTCCATCAGCCCGAACACAAAACACTGCACTAGGCAGTCCATCAGCCCGAACACGAGACACTGACTAAGCAGTCCACCGGCTCACAGGCCAAGTAACAAGATCCGCGAGTAATCCATCGTAAACAAACCCACAAAGAAATAAGTAATAAAAATAATAAACACCAAAAAAAGCACAAACCACGATTTCTTGAAGTATTTTTGTCAGCAACACAGCGCTCCTCCTGTCTCCTACCTCTCTATCGGTCAGACAAGGCCTCTCCAAACCTAAAAGTTCCAGCAATCTACAAATTCTTCTTGTAGCGGACCCTGGACAGACTGAAGCATACCTCAGCCTGAGATAGGACCTCACAGCATGTTCATTTCTGTGTCGGCGATTTTGATGGAGTTGTCGGGAAGAATTGTCGTGTCGAATGCGCTTGGGTGGTCTGGTCGGGTGGGGTCCTCGGAAATGTTGGTGATGATGGGTGTAGTGGCAGCCATGATTGCTGGATATCTCTGGCTTGTGTCTTGAAGGAATATCTGCTCGACTTCGTCCGTTCGTCTAGCAGCGTATATATCCCTCGGTTCCATTGTATTCCTTAAATTCGTGATCCTTGTCCTAGTGCCCGTGATCGTTGTTGATATTGTCGTGCTCGTGCTCTTTGTGTGTGTTCTCGTACTGGTGGTCTCGGTGGCCATTCTCGTGCTTGTGGTCTCTGTGGAAACTATCGTATTCGTGTTTCCTGTTGTTATCCTCGTTATCGTGTTCTCTGTTGCTTGTGTTTGATCCTTGCTTTTTGTCGTAGCGGGGTTTTCTGTTGGTTTTCTTGCGTTTGCGTTCTCTGTTGATGATGTCGTAGCCATGGTTGTGCAAGGAGGTTCCGCTGGGGTACAGACTCTCAGTCTGGCCAGGGCCCGGTTGATTACAGCAAGATTTTTATTTGTTGCGGGACCTCGAGAAGATCTATATAAATGTCGCACTGACGCACTGGAATGCGAGGGCGGACACGTGTGGTGAGGGGCAGTTAAATCAGAGCCACGGGCACTGTGCTTCCACGTCCAGTGCCGCAAACTGTCTCTCCAAACTAAAGGGAAATAGCTACTGGGGGAGGGGGAAGGATCAGCTCTACGGGCACCGTGTTTCCACGTCCAGTGCCGCAGACTGACTCTCCACACTAAAGGGAAATAGCTACTGGGGAAGGGGGGAGTATCAGCTCTACGTTTCCACGTCCAATGCCGCAGACTGACCCTCCAAACTAAAGGGAAATAGCTATGGGGAAAGGAGGAAGGATGCTTCCGCGTCCGGCTTCTGTAAGTTGAGGTTGGAACTTTGGTGGATTAAATGGACTTCAGTCGCGGTGGCAGGGGTCGGGGGTACCAGCTTGAGCTCCCAGTTCCCTCCCAAGAGAATAACCCGGATGAAATTGCTTTATTCCTTTTGTAATTTTATTTAATCAGTCCCTACGCCCTACCTATCGCACTTAAGTGAAGACAGCTTACCCTCTCCACGAGAGGCTCGTTTGGTTGTTGCGTGGTTTTCCTTTCGTAGTTGGGGGGCGGGGTGGGCACGGTCACTTTTGGCGGCAGGGCACCGGTTTTTGTTTTCCGCGAATACGACTGGTACTTCTGGCGATCTCCACTTGACTCTCGAGCCGCACTATTCGACGCGGGCTCGAACCCTTCTTTTTAAGGCAGCGTCTTGTCAGAGGTACTCGGGCCGTTTCCCGATCGTCCATCGGGATCACGCTGTCTCCCTCTTTTCCATGTGTGGGGGTGAGTCCACCCTCTGCTGAGAGTCTCTGCTGAGAGTCGCTGCTCAGCCTTCGTTCCTCTGCTTGCCGCTCTGCCACTGCGTTCTGGGCTGGGCCGCATTTTGAGCGAAGTTGCTCTCTCTGCTGTTGCGCGCCGTTTCGGATCGTGACGTATGCGTCGCTCTCTCCCGTAGGTCTGTCGCTGGGCTGCATTTTGAGTGAAGTCGCTCTCTCTGTTGTGGTGCGTCGTTTCGGACCGTGACGTATGTGTTGCTCTCTCCCGTAGATCGTGGCCTGCTGTGCTCGTTTGTCAGGTGTGACGTCACTTGTTCTTCGCTGTGGCTGTGTGTGTGTGTGTGGGGCTGTCAGAGATGACGAGTACGGTGACTGTTTCCTGACCACGGTTTGCCCTATGAATTTACGATGTCTTTCCCCTACTCGGCTTTCGCCTCTGTTCTCCACTATATCTGTATATATATATATATATATATATATCTTATATCTCCCTTACAGTTGTTTGCCATTGTTCTCCCTTGAGGATGTCGTGGTTGGGTTCTCGGTTGTTGGTCGTTTGGTTTTGTTCTCGGGTCCTTGGGTTAGCACATGGCTGGCGGTGGTCATCGGCTCGTCGTAAATGTAGGCGAGTGGTTCCGCATTGTATTGTGGTTTCTAATAGAAACAGAAAGTCCATGCCCAGGATAACGTTCTCCACCATGCTTGGCAAAACCAATAGGGGTATTCGTACCTCGCGCATAAGTAGTTCAGTGGATGCGAGTAATTTCTTGAGTAATGGGCCTCACTGACCCGTCGGCTAGACGGATCTGCATTAGCGCGTCTCGTACATTTGTGTCCGTAATTAATCTTTCGACCAGAGCTTGGTTTACGAAACTTCGGGTTGCTCCTGTGTATATAGTTGCATCTGTTGGTCTTCCTTCAATCGTTACCATCGTTACCATTCTGTCCGCCATATGGAAAGCGTGGGAGTACGACGTGTTGCGGTGATTCCCAGGTTCAGTGTGTCTGCTTGTTTCATCCGTAAGAGGCAGAGTTCTCCTTATAGATATCCCTCGGATATCAGGACTACAGGTGGCACATTGTTTTTGGCCGCTGTGGGCGGGGGAACGGGTATGCCAAGTTTGTGATCGAGGATATTCTTCTTCAGGATTCCAGGATCCTTGATTATTTCTGCAGGGTAATACTCACTCTGATCACCGACGGTACTTTGATCTATGCTTAGATGTAGAAGCTCGTGCTCGTGAAAATGGAGGGTAGGCGTAGCGGTATTTATTGCTGGCTAGTGGTGTTTTAGCGCACTAGTGTTAATATCTTGTCTTTTTCCTTTGTTTGTCTGTATATTGTGTGTATGGTTTTCGTGGCTCACTTATTCCAGTTCTTCTTTTATCTCCGCACGGTTCCATTTTAGGAACTGGCACTGGAAGTGCGTCTAAACTTTAATTTGTTTAAGAGTTTCACTGTATCTGCACTGCGATGATTTCTCGGACCGGCACTGTACTTGGTTCGGGAATGTTGGCAGAAACAAAGCTGACTTGAACTACTTCAATAGTTTTTCGTGCCGGCACATTACTGTTGTATTGCGATGACTTTTCGGACTGGTACTGTAGCGTTTTACTGCGATGACTTTTCGGACGGGCACTGTAGCGCTGGTTTCGCGATCTCCAATATGTGTGTATTAGAGTTTTCAGAGTACGGGCGTATGTGTGTGTGTGTGTATGTTCTTGTGTATTTACACTAGGTGCATGTTTTCTGTGTTTAGGTGCTACTCGTACTTTCTTTTGGCTGTACTTAAAGCACGTGTTTGGTCTATATGAGTTTCAGTGAGGCTTCGCCTCGACTAATCCCCCTAAAGACTCTGCTCGGGCGCCACTTATAAGGAACCTATTTCAGGCTGGGGTAAGCTCAGTCCGTCCAGGGTCGGCTACAAGAAACTCGTAGTTGTTGTGAGGACTTTAGGCGAGGGACGAGACCAAGCCAGGCAATGTGCGTTGTCGCAAAGGCTCAGTGGGATCAGAATAAGGAGAGGCAGAGCAGTGCGTTGTCGCATAGGCTCAAAACGATCAGGAAGAGGCGGGGCAGAGCAGTGCGTTGTCGCAATGGCTCGGGGGATCAGGAGAAAGGGAGGCTGAGCTGTGGGTTGTCGAGAGGAAGTTAAGGAGAAGGCGAGGCAGAGCAGTGCGTTATCGCAAAGGCTCAAGAAGATCAGAAAGAAAGGGGAGTTAGTAGTTAATTTGAATAAAATGACTCGAGAGGCGTGGGCTTTGAGTATTAAATTATGTGTTTATTCAAGTAATATTCGATAATGAGGTCCCTGGCTGCATCATGTGGTTGTTGCTTACAACTTACGTGTGAACAATATAAGGGAATTGAACCGGGCTGAGTTGGATATGCGCAGGGTCCGCGTAGCAATGGGCACGTTCTGTGTTCGCGGCGGGTTCGTGTGCGTGCCTGTACGCGTGTTTACCCTTGTTACCCGTACTCAAAAAAGAATTAATTATTAGTTAATTAATTAATTAGATTTTTGGTAAAAGTGTGTGTAACGCAGAGAATGAAATGTTTCCGAGCCCGTAATGTATACATATTCATTTTTTTTTTTTTTTTGATATTAAGTTACTTTCAATTGTGATTAGTTGAAGGATTTTTTTGGCCTCCACGTCTGATACGGGTTAACGCCACCTCCTGATTGTTTTCTTGAAAGTCTTGAATAATTGTTTTAACTGTTAAATATGATGACTGGAAGAGTATGTATGATGCTCATGCAATGACGTTATTGTTAGTAAATGGTTAGCGTGCTTGATTTACAATTTGATATTTGCGATGCGTATGAATTCAACAATGTATTTGTAAAAGGCGATGGGTTCTTTCAGTATAGGATTTGAGTACTGGAAAACGATTTCTTTCTTGAGAGTAAGCGGGACATATAAAAATTATATGTGAAGTGTCTTCAGGTAGGTTGCAGGAATCACATAAATTGTTATTTATTACTTTCATTCTAGTAAGCGAAACTTTGTCTATTCCGTGACCACTTAGTAGTCTGTTAATTTGTTTGATTTCCAGACGGCTTAGATTACAGTTTTTGTCCTCAAGCCATGGTTTGTCCCGTATATAAGGAAATAATTTTCTTTCTTTCCGTCGCGTAAGTAATATATTCTCTTTCCCAATCTTCTTGAGACTATAAGAGACTATAAGAGCTAGGGCATTATTTGGTTTCCAGACTCATGCACAGACTCATGCACCCAGGCACATTGTTCGGAGCAGCCGCTGGCAACAAGCTCTTTGCGCTAGATGGCGCTCTTACATCGAATGCACGCTCGCTCTTACCATAAAACGCTCGCTCACTGATCGTAGATCAAGTCCGGGTGCATAGCGTTGAGCGGGCTGAGTAAGTTGCATTGCTCTTGAGAGCGTGGGAGTCCATCCCGTGAGAGCAAACGGAACGGAATAATATAGTCTGACGACCCTTGAAAGTAGTTATATGTTCAGTAGCCCTTCGCCATAAAACACACGGATTGAATTTGTTAGGTTAGCTTAGGTTGACCCGGACGGCCCTCATGGGGCCACGCATAGGCCGATATGGCCCTTAGTTGTCCGGATGGGGGGGTGCATGAACCTTCTTCATTGTTGTGAGGTTTCAAAGTCCGTGAGGATCGAGGTGTTTTTCGCGAAGGCAAGAAGTTCCTATGGTGTCCTTCTAGAGGCATCTTCCAGTGACGCCATCACAGGGGTACGCAGGTATTTTCTTCTTGCCCTTGATAGCGCCGGGCAGCTGCATATGAGGTGTTCCAGGGTTTCGATAGCCCCTTCTTTATCGCATTTTCTGCAGTTACCACTGTTGGTGATGCCCAGTTTAACTGCGTGTGCTGCAGTTAGACAGTGTCCTGTGAGTATTCCCACTAGCATTCTGCAGTCCTTCCGTGGAAGGTGCAGTAAGTAGTGTTTAACTAAGTTTACCATTGAGCTCCTTGCACATGGTTCTCGAGATTCTGCAGGTGGTGGTACTCTTCCACCGGCTTCTGGCCTTCTTGTCCGCTTGTTTCTCCAGAGCGCTTTGTAGCGTTCTAAGGGAGACAGGCATGTTCTCAGTTCTGTCAATGGCCAACCCGACGCCTTCCTTAGCCAGTACATCCGCTGTCTCGTCACCTTCGATGCCCTGGTGGCTGGGAACCCAATAGATCCGCACTGACTTTGTCGTGCTTATGTAGTCTAATGCTTCCCTGCTCGCCAGGACGTTTCTGGAACTGACCGCTGACGACTGCATGGATCTTATCGCCGCCTGGCTGTCCACGAACAGGTTTACCACGCCGTGTGAACGATCGATGGACTGAGCCGCCTCTGCCGCCTCTGCGTAGACCTCCGCCTGGAATATGCTGCATTGGCCCGGTAGCTTATAGGACAGCCTTATCTCAGGGTCTGTACAGTATATGCCCGCTCCTACTCCTCCTTCCATCTTGGAGCCGTCGGTGTAAATGTTGAGATGTTGAGTCTGGTCCCGATCCCTTTTCCAGTCGTCGGGTCCCATAAATGAGGTTGTGTTTACGTCCAGGCAAGTTTGGGGGATCATGTAGTCAGATATACTGGTCATGTCTCGGCCAATGGAACTGTGCCCGAATCCTTGTAGAGACATATTGCCTGATGCTACTAAGCGTTGTGCCGCCTTTCCTGCAGTCAGTTTAGCGTGGATGTCCAAGGGGTCGATTCCGACTGGTTTCGAGTGCTTTTGTTGGAGTTGACCTCAGCGCCCCCGTAATGCAAAGCAGTGCCTGCCGCTGGGTCCTTTCCATAAGCTTATTGTACGTCGTCTTTTCCGTCGCTTGCCACCACACTAAGACTCCATACATCAGAGTCGGTCGCACCACCGAGATGTAGATCCAGTGCATTAAAGCAGGTGACAGGCCCCATGTACTGCTGAGCATCTTCTTGGATGCATATAGCGCAATGGTGGCCTTCTTCACCATTTCCAAAACATTGGTCCTCCACGCCAGCTTGCTGTCCAGTACTATGCCAAGGTATTTGACTTGCGTTTTGGGGTCAGCCTGGTTTTTTTCAATTTTCGGGGGGATCCATGCCGGTACCTTGTATCTCTTGGTAAAGAGGAATAGGTCCGTCTTTTCCGCGTTGGTCCTACTGAGTCCTACTTTTTCCGCCCACTCACATATCTCCCTGAGTGTTGATTCCATTATGGAGCTTAGAGTCGATGGAAATACTCCCGTAATAATTATGCTTATGTCATCCGCATAAGCTGTTATTTTTGGGGCTCTCCTTTTGAATCTCTTTATTAGGTCGTCGACCACCAGGTTCCACAGGAGGGACGAGAGGACCCCACCCTGAGGTGTGCCTCTGTGTGCCCCTTTCACCAAGGAAGCGGTGCCACATTCTGAGTATACCCGTCTACAACTTAGAAGGTTCTTTATCCAGAGGTTGATTGCGGGATGCGTGTTGGTCGCTTCTAGGCGGTCCATTATTGCGTTAGTATTTACGTTATTGAATGCTCCGGATATGTCTACAAACACTCCTAGAGCATAATTTTTATTTTGGAGGGCATTTTCGATGGTGGCTACTAGCGAATGCAGTGCCGTCTCTACCGATTTCCCTTTGGTATAGGCATGCTGGTTGGTTGACATCCGCCACCCTACATCGTTTCTACAGCTTTTCTAGTGTTTTGAGTAGAAAAGAGGTGAGGCTTATCGGTCTGTAGTCATTGGGGCTCATATGGCTGCACTTTCCTGCCTTTGGAAGGAAGACAATCCTCGAGGTCCTCCATTGAATAGGGATATAGCCCGTGCTCAGGCAAGCTGAGTATATTGCAGAGAGCCATGGGGTGATCAGGTCTTTGGTCGCCTGTAGCATGGCTGGAAATATACCGTCTAGTCCAGGTGCTTTCGTACCCACAAAGGAGTCTATAGCACAGTGGATTCTCCTAAACGATATGAGGTCCTGATGCCTTGTAGCGTCAGCAACCTCGGTGCATCCTGGGAAGTGACCTTCCATTAGTGCTCTTCACTCCTCAGTCCACTGTCCATCGTATTGCTTGAGCTGACTCTGTATGGTAGGTTGCTTTGATAGCAGCTTCCGGAGTCTAGCCGTTTCTGGGACTTTCTCGATGTTGGAGCAGAAGTTCCTCCACGACTTTCTTTGTGCCCTTCGAATTTCTTCTTGTACTCCCTGAGTAGGATTTTATATCCCTCATTGATCATCTCATCACTCGCCTGTTTGGCGATTTTGAAGAATTCTTTGAGGTTGTTTCTTTGGAGCGATAGGTCCCGGTTCCACCAGAGTGGTTTGGTCCTCTTTTTTGTTCTCGAGGGTGGGCACGATGCGTGGTACGCATCCAGTAGTTCCCTGGATAGGGTCTCTAGGGACGTTTCTATGTGTTTCGTCATGTCGTCGTCTTAGTTAATGTTGTATGTTAAGATTATTTTTGAATTGTTTGAAGTCTAGTGTAAGTAGGTTAGGGCAAGGCGGGAGCGCAATAAAAGCTCGCTCTTTCGCTCAAGGCGAATTCGCCCCGCTTTGCCACCGTAGGTTAGTTAGGCATAGAATGAAGTGGAATGAAATTTAGAATATAATCGTTGAAATTGGATTCGATCGAGCGCACCTAAAATTATTTCGTCCCCGCCTTTAATAAATCTATACGCCACCCAAGTATTTCGGTTTTGTTTAATTAGAAAAACTATTCTAAATTTTCATGGCGCCCCCGGGTGGACGTAAAGAATAAATAAAAAGGCAACAATTAAAAGTGACAGTGACACAGTTTCTCAAGAGTGTAACAAAAAATATATACACATACAGAAAGTTATAATAAATAACTAGTTTATTCTATTATAGAATAAAAGTGTCGTGTTTGTGTATCCAAATCATTGCCAAAACCATCGTGTCGGCCGCGCAATACCCTCACCGCCTGTTGCTGATCGTGGCTGCTACCCTGCCGCCATACCTGCTGCTTCACCGTTGCTGCTACCCTGCCTATACTTGCTGTTTCACCGCCATACACAGACCCCGTAGCTGCAACCTAGAAGATCTATGGCCCCTTGTGATTGCACGGACTGCAAGAGGAAAGTGGCAGCTGGACTTAAAGATCCGAACGCAGAGCCTGAGGTATTTGTGCAAAAAATTGAAAGCTAGAGCCGAAGACATACATAAATACATATATAAATTGTCTTGTGCTGGAAAAATTGCACCTCGCTTTCAATTCTTGGCACAGCCGTATGATATAGTAGAGTTTGATTTGCATGCATTTAATTTATTAGTGCACATACATACATATATAACACCATATAACACATATGTACAAAAACCATACCATACTCTATTTGAACCGCTATTTGGACGCACAATTATATATACATCGTTTACCGCAATCACTGTCGCCCCCCCCCGTTCCCCTCTCGTTGTGTGAAATTCGCCAAAAAGTTGGTTCGTTAACCCAAGCCGCGGTGTATAACACTTACTTCCATACATACATACATACATACAAGCAGCTGCACCGGTGCATTCTTTTTGTCTCTCGCTTTCGCTTATCCACCGTTGCTTGCTGTGTATTTGGTGGGAGAATTTCGTTGCCGTGCTTGATCAAAACGGAGCGCCAAGTGACGCGCTACCCTGTTTTTCGAGGGTATATTGTTTTTCTTGTCACTTCGCAAGTGACGCGCTACCCTGCATTCTTAGGGTATATTGTTTTGGCTCTCAGTTGGAAAGTGACGCGCTACCCTACATTCTTAGAGTATATTTCTTTCGGCTCTCAGCTGGAAAACTACGCGCTACCCTACAGTGTGAGGGTATATCGTTTTGGCTGTCACTTGCAACCAACTATACACCTCGTGCCTCGACATTCAATTATTGTCGTTTTCGATGTCCGTTCTTGTTTGAACATTTATTATTTCTTTATCTACAAAAATATTGGTTTTCGTCGCGTAGATTATAAATAGTAAAATGGCACAAGAAAATAAGTCTGTTCTCGATGACTTAAAAAGTAAGCTCAGAAACCGAGTCAAAAGCATTCGCCGCTTAGAGGATCGATTAGAGGGCGGGTCGATTCCATTGCAATTGACAGAGCTACAATGCAGACTCGATGTTCTGAATTCTGCTATTAACAAGGCCAACCTATTGCAGGAGCAAATAGAAGAAATTGATAGCAAAGATGAATTTGGAGCCGAGCTGGAAGAAATGGCCATTGTAACCAAGGCAAAGATAATGTCGCTTATCGATGCCTTGAAGCTAACAAGCGATACGCCGCCCTCGGTATCAGCTTCTACAGCCCCAACTCGTGCTCGACTTCCGAAATTGGCACTACCAAAATTTAGTGGTAAATATTCGGAGTTTAAAAATTTTATTAGCCTTTTTGAGACTCTTGTTCATAATGATGAGAGTATACCGGTGATCGAAAAATTTAATCATTTAATTTCGTGCCTCTCTAATGAAGCATTAGGAACAATAAAGGCGTTCCAAGTCACCGAGGCCAATTATGCAAAGGCCATGGACAGCCTAAAGCGAGTATATGACAACGAATGTCTAATATTCTCGAACCAAATCTCCGCACTGTTTAATCTGCCAAAAATCTCGCAACAGTCCGCATCGTCCCTAAGAAGCCTCATCGATACAGTGTCATCGATCTATGGTTCATTAATATCGATAGGAGACGATACGAAGATTTCGAATGCAATGCTCATTCATCTCGTTTTGAACAGAGTCGACCCAGTGACTAGACAGAAGTGGGAAGAACAGCTTGACTTCGAAAAGTTGCCGCTTTGGTCCGACTTTGAAAAAGTTTTAAATCGTCGATACCAGCATTTGTCTGCGGAAGAGTCGACAAAGCCAAGGCAAGAAAAAGTCATGCCAAGCAAGTCGCACAATCGCAGTTCATTTGCTTGTTCTTCCACTCCCCCCCAACAGTAGAGCTCAGCGAACATGCAGCTATTGCAATTCGGGAGACCATGTAGTGGCCAACTGCACGCCATTTTCACGTCTCTCGGTTATGCAAAGGTTCGAGTTCACAAAGTCTGCGTCCTTATGTATAAATTGTCTGCAAAAGGGTCACACTGTTGTAAGATGCAAGGTCGCCAAATGTCAAGTTTGTGGCCGCTCACATCACACATTGTTGCATCGATACACAGTGACTGATAATAGTCTCGCGTTGCCGCCACCCCCAGAGAGTTCGTCTCCTCCTTTAAATCAGGACCACCCTTCCACCTCTCATGCTCTGCATGCGACTTCGTTGGACAGGGTGATTTTGGCTACGTCGATCGTAAGTGTCAGAACAAAAAATGGTGAACACATTTTAGCCAGAGCTCTCCTTGACTCTGGATCCCAAACAAACTTCATCACGGAAGACCTCGCCCACCGCTTACAGATCCGTAGAGAGGAGTCGTGTATTACCTTGCTTGGTATTGGTGAATCCAATTCTCAAGTAAAGAATAAAATACACACTGTGGTGAAGTCGCGCATAAATGGTAGTGAGTTCTCCTTTGATTTTTGGATCCTGAAATCAATTTCAGGTTATCATCCTGACCAGTCAGTTAATGTAACTGATTGGAAAATCCCAGAGAACCTACCACTGGCAGACCCCTATTTCTACAAGCCACAAAGAATAGACATGCTGATTGGAGCTGAATCATTCTTTGAGTTATTAGCTGTTGGTCAAATCAAGCAGGTCCTGACTAACTCTTCAGAAGACCCTTCTTGGCTGGGTTGTTTCGGGAAAATATGTTTCCAAAAGTTCTGCCCCCCAAACGGCAAACAGTTTGAGTTGCAGTGAAGAGCTGTTAGTTTCCATTGATAGGACCTTGCAAAAATTCTGGTCACTGGAAGAAATGCCATCTCCAAAGAAAATTATTTCGCCTGAGCACACGTTATGTGAAAATCACTTTCGGAAGACGACTCAGGTATTGCCATCAGGTCGGTTTGAAGTAAGGCTGCCGTTTAAATCAGATCCAAATTGTTTGGGCAACTCCTTTGAGGTTGCTAAACGGCGGTTTTTGTCGCTCGAAAGAAGATTGTCTCGTGACCCTGAGTTGAAGAAAATGTACTTGGAATTCATGGAAGAGTACCTCTCCTTAGGTCATATGTCACCGACTGACAATACGGTTCCTTCTACTCCACACTACGTAATTCCACATCAGTGTGTCCTTCGGCCCCAAAGTACGTCCACCAAGCTTCGCGTCGTGTTCGATGCGTCGTCGAAGACGTCCTCTCAGGTGGCCTTGAATGAGATTCTGATGGTCGGACCAACCATTCAAGAGCAATTATACTCAACACTGCTCCGCTTCCGTCTGCACAGGTTCGCCCTGACTGCCGATGTGAAAAAGATGTATCGCCAAGTGATGGTGAATGAAGCGGATAGGCAGTTTCAGATGATAGTGTGGAGAAGAGACCCATCTGAGTCCTTGAGATTATACAAGCTTAACACCGTGACTTATGGGACTGGACCAGCCCCTTTTTTGGCTATCCGGTGTTTAAAAAGGTTGAGTGAGTCTGTGAAGCTATCATTCCCTAAAGCTGCTGACGTTATTGGGTCCGACTTTTACGTTGATGACATGTTGACTGGTGCTGCATGCGTAGAGGAGCTAAGGGCAATTAAGTCCGAAGTATCTCAGGTTCTTCAGACCGCAGGGTTTAAGTTAGCGAAGTGGTTTTCGAACTCACCTGAAATCACCGCATCTGAGAGCACAGCAAAACCCATAACGATCTCGGATTCAGAATCGACTAAGGCGTTAGGAATCTCATGGTTGCCTAAGGAAGATGCCTTTCAGTTTAAAATTGACAATGAAGTCATGGGTCTCCGAGCGACAAAACGGAACATACTGTCGGTGACATCGAAGCTGTTCGACCCCCTTGGATTGTTAAGTCCTATCGTCATAAAGGGCAAGATCCTATTGCAGGAACTTTGGCTTAACAAACTAGATTGGGATGAGTCGATTCCGATGCATTTGGAAACAGCATGGAATATGTTGAAAAATACACTGTCTCAATTGGAAGAGATATCCATACCTCGGTTTGTGTATTCCGATACGATGTCACCGATCCAAATACATGCCTTCGCTGACGCCTCCATGAGAGCTTATGGAGCGTGCGTCTATGTCCGTAGCAGAACTGCAGAAGGTTTAAAAATATCATTGTTGACTTCAAAGTCCAAAGTAGCGCCGCTCAAGACCAAAACGCTCCCACGGCTTGAGTTATGTGCCGCTCACCTTCTCGCGGATCTCTGTCACAGAATCAAGCCCCTATTAAAGGTCCCTATCGAACGAGCTGTTTATTGGTCAGACTCTGAAGTAACTCTTCACTGGATTCGGTCGCATCCATCTTCGTTGTCGACGTTCGTTTCGAATAGGGTGGCTGAGATTCAGGAGTGGTCAGATGAAGCTACGTGGCGGCATGTCCCTACAAAACAGAACCCTGTAGATATTGTGTCAAGAGGTTGTGACGTCAAAGAAATCGTCCAGTCAATCTGGTTTGAAGGACCATCATTTTTGAAGGATGAAGAAGAGACCTGGCCAAAAAACCCTCATTTCGAGCCTACAGAAGATGTCGAGATGGAGAAGAGGAAGAACGCGGTCGGGCTGACCGCTGCGGTAGAAATTTCGGATTTGGTAGATGTCATCGAGGGATTCTCGTCACACCTCAAGCTGCTTAGAGTGTTTTGTTATATGTTCCGCTTTATAAGAAAATGTAAGAACCCGAGCATAACGTTTGAAAAAACGGTTTCACCGACCGAGTATGATGAAGCCTTTCGCAAAATTGTTGAAGTTATCCAACATCACGAGTATCGTGAGGAAATCGAGAAAGTTCGGAAAGGATCTAGAGTTGGTCCTAGTCTTCAGCGGTTGAACCCTTTCATCCATGAAGACACTGGTACTTGGTGTACTTTTTCGTTGTTGAGAGTAGGGGGGCGACTAGCTAAAGCTCCTAAGTTTCCGTTGCTTTTGACGAAGCGTTCGCAATTCGTGCGGAGCTATGTTCGTCATCTGCACCATATCAATTTTCATGTCGGCCCACGAGCACTTGTGAGCATCCTTCGACAGAGTGTTTGGATCGTAAACGCTCAGGAGGTCTGCAGTCAGACAGTTCGATCGTGTATCCGCTGCTTTAAATGCAAGCCTCGACTGCTGACGCAACTGATGGGAAATTTACCCGCAGACCGGCTCCGTGCTCTCCGCCCATTTTCAATTTGCGGCGTTGATTTTTGTGGACCCGTCTCGACGACATTGAAAATTCGAGGAAGGCCCCCATACAAGTCCTATATCGCGCTTTTTGTTTGTTTTGCGTCCAAAGCGGTTCACTTAGAACTTGTATCTGACTTGACCACTGACTGTTTTTTATTGGCTTTCCAAAGGTTCGTTGGGCGCCGAGGATATCCCCAGATCGTCCATTGCGACAACGGGACGAATTTCGTCGGAGCGAGCCGCCACCTCAGCGCTCTGCAGAAGGCGCTCGAGGACGGGGCGGACGCAGTTCGCGAATTCGCGTCAAGAAAAGTATGCGAATTTGCGTTCATACCGCCTCGAGCGCCGCACATGGGAGGACTCTGGGAGGCAGGTGTCAAGTCTGCGAAGAGCCTACTCCTACGGGCGGTAGGCAGCGCGCTCTTGACCGCCGAAGAGCTCGCCACAGTCCTCGTCGATCTCGAGGCCGTCCTGAACTCCAGGCCGCTGGGAGCCCTCAGCCAGGACCCCAGCGACTGCGAGGCACTCACGCCCGGGCACCTGCTGACAGGCGGGTCGCTCATCGCCCCCCCAGCACTGCGGACTCCGGACCAGGAGGGTGTCAGCTGCTTGCGGCGATGGCAACGTGCCTCGTCAGTCAGGCAAGCGTTCTGGCGCCGATGGTCCAAAGAATATGTCCTGGGCCTTCAAATTCGGGGCAAGTGGCACCAGCGGAAACCCGACGTCAAGGAGGGAGACCTCGTCCTCGTGGCCGAGGACAACATGCCTCCACAGGAGTGGCTCCTCGGGAGGGTGATCGCCACGCACGCCGGGGAGGACGGCATGGTCAGGGTCGTCGACCTTAGGAGGAGCTATGGGGGCATTTTTCGGCGGGCCATCCACAAGTTGGCGCCGCTACCAATGGTTTGAAGCCGCTCAGGCCTTCAACGGGGCCGGTGTTTCGTCATGTCGTCGTCTTAGTTAATGTTGTATGTTAAGATTATTTTTGAATTGTTTGAAGTCTAGTGTAAGTAGGTTAGGGCAAGTCGGGAGCGCAATAAAAGCTCGCTCTTTCGCTCAAGGCGAATTCGCCCTGCTTTGCCACCGTAGGTTAGTTAGGCATAGAATGAAGTGGAATGAAATTTAGAATATAATCGTTGAAATTGGATTCGATCGAGCGCACCTAAAATTATTTCGTCCCCGCCTTTAATAAATCTATACGCCACCCAAGTATTTCGGTTTTGTTTAATTAGAAAAACTATTCTAAATTTTCACTATGTCTTCCGGTGATTTCACTGTGCCCGGACGATTCGCGAGCTTCGAGGTAACTGTCTTTATAAACTTTTCCCAGTTTGTGTTCCGGGGGTTTCTATAGACAGTTATCTTCGTAGAGTTGTCAAATTCGCACTTAAACTGGATGTACTTGTGGTCTGAGAAGGATGGTCTTTCAATGACTCTCCAGCCAGATACCAAAGTACTTGTTCCCGCTACGAGTGTCAAATCTAGCAAGTTTGAAGAGGTGGGACCTACAAAGGTGTATTCCTCTCCTACGTTTGCTACTTCTAGGTTAGTTGATAGTATGAAGTCAAGGAGGGACTCACCTCTATCGTTGATGTCGGGGCTTCCCCACACGTTGTGATGTGCGTTTGCGTCCGTACCGACGAGAAGTTGCAGGTCCTTCGGGCTGGATTCCGCCACTAGATGCCTCAACTCTTCAGGTGGAGCCGGCCTGTCGTGTGCCATGTAGCAGGAGGCTACCATCAGGCGCTTTTCCTTGCTTTCTAGCATCACCACGGTCAGATCGTCAGTGCTGTAATGAGACATAAGGTGAGCATGGATTCCCTTTCGTACGAGTATGGTTCTGTTCCTGCTTACCGATGGTGGATAGAACACGTTAAAATTTTAGGACTTTAGTCCGGCCACAGCATTGCCTGAGGCAACCCATGGCTCCTGGACTAAGGCTATGTCGGCGGGCCCTTGCTCCATGGCAAAGAGTAGCTCCGCCGATGCAATCTTACTCTTGTGGAGGTTGAGCTGCAGCACACTCACCATGTGTTTCTGGCTCAGCTCCGCTCGACGGGTTGACTACTACCGTCAGGTCATCGTCCTCCCCCTCCTCCACCGAGTCCAGGCCAAGACCCTGTGCGGCCTCCACGATGGTGTCCAGACCAAGGTCCTTTTTCACCTTGCCCGCCTGCAGAGTGTGCGCATCTTTGTCCTCGGGGTGGCGCTTTTTCAGCCGCAGGTACACACTGCCCATCCCCCACGCCATCTTCCCGAATCTTGGGTACAGCAGGTCCTCTGACTCCTTGCTGATCTGGATGATCGCACTCTGGCCTCCCTCATTGGGTAGTGGGCTCCCGATATGCAGAATCCTCCAGTTCGCCGTTGGCACATCAGGGTTCAGCCGCTGTAGCAGCTTCAGCGTCGGTCAATTGGATTACGATGGGGAAGAGTACCTTAGCCTTTGGTATGGACGGGATTAGCTCCCTGTCCACCACCTCCAGCTTGGCCCCCTCCCACAACGCTTCCAGTTGGGAGACCGTTTGCGTCAGCCACTTGAGTGTGGTGTCGTCAATACATTTTAGTATTTTGACCCCGTTAAGCCACCCTGCACCATCGAACGTGGGCATGGGGGCCGTTGGGTCCTCCTCAATTCGAGCGAACAGCGCATCCACGAGCCGCGCGTGCACCGTCTTCCACCGCGCCGCCGTTATTTTGCCGTTCTCGTCGCTCCGGTCAATGAGTGCCACGATTAAGTGACGTTTGTTCACCTCACTGACCTTCGCTTTTTGGGGTCTCTTCGCCTGTTTGGGTGTGGTTCCTGCCACCTAGGGCCCGCGTTGCCGCTTGCTCACCGGAGTGTCCTTGGTGGCACTCTCGGTCGAGCATTGCCTTTTGGTGGCGAGATTCTCCTCCACCTTGTTGGCAAATCCCTCCGTCGATGCCTTCATCTGCGGCATGTACGCGAAGTGCAGCCGTCCCACTTTTATCCGTTGCTCGGCCCAGGTCATTTTGGCCTTCTCCTCTTCAGAGAGGTCCTTCCTGCCCTGGAGCCGGCCCATGATTTTGAGGGCCGCTTTGTACTGGGATTGAATTTTTTGCTTGTCGAGAATAAAGTCAACACTTGTTAAGTTTAAACGATTTCGCGTTCTGACTTTCTTTTTTGGAAATTATTAAAGCGGTCGGAAAAGCACGACAGCTCACAACATTTGGAGGATCTACCGAGATATCCGTGTATATCGTGTTTCGTGAGAAGTGTATAAAACATACTCGGGAAGTCAGCAGTTTAATATATTGTACAAACATTATTGTGTGCTAGCAGCAGAAATAACGGAATTGGAACCGCTTGAGTACATATATACAGCATAATCGTATGTGCGCTGCTTGATTCCGTTGCATTTTCGGTCTTCGGTTTCGCCCTCGGTGCTGGTGCAGTTCTGTTACACGTACGCCGATCTTTCGTAGTTGCAGCTTTCTACCTGCATTCGCTGTCTTTGACCGCACTTTCGCTCGTATCGTTAGATCTGCGCAGACGGCTCGAAAAACTCTGTTTCGTGGAGAGTTTACCGTAAACTAAACAATCACATAAACAAACTAAAAATTAAACAAAAACGAGAAGGAACGTGTGGTTTTATGGTTTAGTTTTTTTTTTTAAGAATTTTGTTAAATCCGATATTTTTTTTGTTTTTTTTCAGAGGTAGTGCTTCTATTTTTCACATAACTTAAATATCTTATATCTGGTTGTATAGAACTTCGCAGTTCTAAAAAGCTGACAAATGCAACTATAATTCGTGCCCAGACTCTTTGTATCTACAGCTTAACGCCTGGAAGATATTAAGCTTTAAATTAAAATTTCATAATTTTTTGCGGTATTTTTTTTCGAAATTTTGATTTCAAAAACTCAGGAAAAGTCGAAAGAAAAATAATTCTTGGCCAACATTTTTAGTTTTAGATAGACGCATTAATTATGCGTTGTTTAAGGCATTGCTAATTAAAATCTATGGATAAAGGGTGGAGCTCAAACTCGTTAATTCGTTAATAATTTCGAAAAAAAAAATACCGCAAAAAATTATGAAATTTGAAAGCTTAATATCATCCAGGCGTTAAGCTGCAGATACAAAGTGTCTATCAGAAAAAGTCATTTTGGTTCACAGCCTAAATATAAAGTTAAATTTTGCCGAGTAGTGTTATTAATGATAATTATTAATCACATGAGCGGCCGCAACCTTGCTTAGGTGACAAAACTAAAAACACGAGTACCCCCAACCTGTATTCATTTATCGATTTTGGAACTATCGATCTTCAAGAGACACAGAAACAGAGAGAGCGCGACAATTTGAAGGCAACATAAATTAATGCTCAATGAAACCCCGAAGTCGCTTGTCACATGTACTTAAGCATTATGTTAATTTATATATAATTTATATTTCATGCAAGGCAGTGCCTTTTATAGATCGGGCGGCCTTCCATTTTTCCATGAATGTCTTACAGATATCTTATTTCTACTCCAGAATGTGGGAAGGGTTCTAACATAAATATATATTGTCGAATTACTGTCTGCGCGTGCAGACGGGCTGATCGGTAACAGAAGGTTACCTAATCATTAGCCCTGCAGTCAGTGTCCAATATTCCCGGTAAGGAAAGTCGGAGACTGCTGACTGGCTCGCGCATGTGGGGGGTCTGCCCGGTAATCGAGGGTTACCTAAGCAATCGCCTGCCAACAAGTGTCCAATGTCCCATGTAAGGTGATCGGTGGGCACCGGTATCGTGGCAAAGGAATTTCGTTGGCACTTCGGGAATATATATTGTTAGGAATATTTATTTATTTAATATTATTTTAGGTACTTATTGCGTAAGCCCCTTGTGCTGGTCTCCTGTCTTTTGGCGTGTGCTGAGTTTGCATTTTTGCTGGGTGTTGATCGCTTCACCTGGGAGTAGCGTTGGCTGCGTCGTCTGCTTGTGACGAATTATGGGATCCATGGTTCGTTTGGTTGGTTTGATTCGGGTTTTTCGGAAGGATGGGTTTGTCAAATGTGCTTGACGGATCGATGCTCCGGTGGTAATGGCCTATGCGGGCGATGATCGGGGAGGCGTTGGACGTGGGTAGAGTAGTTTTGTAGCTCTGGCGGAACACTTGGGTGGTATTGTCTCCAGACTGGTGCATGAACTGGCTGGTCTCGACGATGTCTCTTTTGTTGGACCAATGGCTTGTTTGGGCGACGGATGCATGGGTCTGCGGGGCCAAGTCCGGCGACCACGGCTCCGGGACTGGTCCGGGCTCATGTTCGGTTGGATCGGCGGCTTCGGACTCAAATGGCTGGCTGGGGTCTTCTGGTAAGAGGGTTGTGTCGAAGGAGCTGTGCGTTTCGATCCTCCGTTGGTAGTCGCTTATGTGGGCGACGATGGGTGTGGTGTCGACCATGGGTACGATATTTTGGTATGCCGGGTGTAGTACTCGTGTTATACTACAGCCAGACTGGTACGTGAACAGCTGAGTCGCGATGACGCCTCTGGTATCGCAGCAACGACTTGTGTGGGCGACGAAGATCTCGGACATGGCTCTAGGCATGGCTCGTTGCATGGCGCTAAGAATCATGCCAGTACGCGGAAGGTACTCCATTGTGTTGGCGAGGATCGGTGTGGCGTCGGCCGTGGGTACGACAGGGCGGCTGTCGGTGTATCGTGGGGTTATCGTCCTGGTTTCCGGGCCCGCGTTGAGGGGCTCTGTGGATATCAGTTCAATTATGAGTCCCGACCAGCGTGGGGTTACCGTGGTTGTTTCCCGTGTTGCTGGGCTGTCGGATGGTGGCTGCCGTTGTCCTTGTTCGATGCTGATGGTCGGCTTTGAGGGTGTCCGTGTGTT